AGACCTTTTTAAAGTGTTGAAGAGCAAAGATGTCAGCTTGAGGACTAAGGTGTGCCTGACCCAAGTCATGGTGTTTTCAATAACCTCAGATGCATACAAAAGCTGGACAGTGAATAAGGAAGACAGTAGACGAATTGATGCATTTGAGTTATGGTGTTGGAGGAGAATATTGAAGGTGCCATGGGCTGCCCAAAGAACCAACAGATCTGTGTTGGAAGAAGTGCAGCCAGAGTGCTCCTTGGAGGCCAAGATGGCCAGACTTCATCTCTCAAACTTCAGACAAATTGTCAGGAGGGATCAGTCTCTGGAGAAGGAGATCATTGGTAGGGTGGAGGGTCAGAGAAGAAGAGTAAGACCCCCAGCGAGATGGATTGGCATAGTGGCAGCATCATTGGGCTGAAGCATGGCAACAATTGTGAAGTTGGCCCAGGATTGAGCAGTGTTTCGTTCTGCTGTGCATAAGGTTGCTGTGAGTCAGTACCAACTCAATGGCACCTAACAACAACAACAATTCTGCTAAAGTCGCATAACAGACCACCCATCTCCAATGGGACTAAGAGCCACAGGGATAGAGGTTAGTATTCACAAAACCTCCTTCTGATGTGGTGCTGTAGAGTAGGCACTGGACTGTGAACCACAAGGTCAGCAGTTCAAACCCACCAGCTGCTTCTCAGAAACGCTATACAGGGTCACTGTGAGTCAGAATTGCCTCAATGACCTGTGACAATTTAACCCATAATCTTCCACCCTCTGGTTCCCCAAAATTCACCCCGTCACATCACCCCCAAAGTCTGAAATCGTCTCCAGGTCTCATCTGAATAACGTAAACCAGATACTGGTGAGGTTTTAGGCATGTTACATGCTGGTAGAAAAAAGTGACTTGTTTTCGGAGTACAGTAGTCAAACAGGCGCTGGTAGACATTGAAGGAAACGAGGACACCAAGCAAATCCAAACCCCAGCAGGAAAAATGACGTTAGCTGTCAGCCTTCGAGAGCGGTCCTCTCTTCTCTAAGACCATTGGGGAAATGGGCCTGTCTCCGGCTCTGGGTGTTGGCTGTGCCCTCTGGATTCTGAGTGGAGAGCCCTTAGCTGTGGGCTTCAGTTCTGCCTTCTAGGCTTATCGGGATGGTCCCTCTGTTCCCTGCGCTCTGTGCGGCCCCGTTCTCCTAGTGTAGCCTGACCTCAGAAGGAGGCGCGTTGTTCTGCCCTCTGGGCATGACAGCCACTCTCCTTGGGTTGTAGCTGGTAGACCCATTGCCCCGATAGACCTTAACCTGCAGCTCCACACTCCAAAGTTGGCAAAGAATCGACACTGAAACGGAGGAGGCTGGGACCCCACCTCAGACCCGAGACTGTCGCCCAGCCTTTGAAACCACGAAGCCCCTGCTGCCTGTGCCCCTTCCTCGAGCTCTGCTGTCTCTTGGAGGGTGATACATGTAGCTCTTTTCGCCTGTTTCCTGCCTGTAGAATTCCAAGAGTTAAACAACACTGTTTTCTTTGCTTCTTTTTCTGTCCCCCTCAGTCTAAGCTGAAGGATTTTCCACTGTGGCGCTTGGCTAGACCTGTCTGTCACAGACTTAATCTCTTTAACAAAAGCTTGTGTAGCCATGTTGTTGGTGAACATTTTAGAACGCATTCATATCCTTAGTGGTACCATGGTGCTGGTGGTAGTTATGTGCTGTGGAGTCGGTTCCGACTCATCACGACCCTGCACAGGGTTTCCGAGGCTGTAAATCTTTACTGGAGCAGAAAGCCTCATCTTTCTCCTGCAGAATAGAATTCTTCAAATCTTTCAGTTATGTTTTCAGTTTGCATAGTTCATTTTTAAGTATCTTTTTGTCTCTTGCAATTTACTCTAAGTGTTAGGAGTCTCGTCAACCAGACAGCCAGGTTCACCACTTCCAAGTTCTGCCTTTGACCAGACATTTGAATGTAATCCCAACAAGTTCCTCCATGGTCCTGTCACGTCTCTCGCTGCCTTTTAGCCTCGCCAGAAGCAGCGCACTCAGTGTCCATGTTTCTAACGGTATTCTGTTGCTGACACCACATGTCCTCTTAGACAGTGGGCAGTGGCGCTCCTCACTTCCTTCTGCCCTTGATGTCCACATTTCTGCCAGCTGTCTCTTCAAGGCAATCTACGTTTGGACCTAAAACTCCTCCAGCCTGCACCCACTACCCAATTCCAAAACGGATTCCACCTTGTGTGTGTATGTGAGGGCAGCAGAGTCCTCCCCTAATACAGATTGTCTTAGTTACCTTGTGCTGCTTGTAGCAGATGCCGTAGATGGGTGGTCTTAACAAATTCATGTTCTCACAGTTCATTATAGCGAGTCATGTACAACAGAGCAGACCACTGCCTAGTCCTGAATGTGCCACCTTCACAATTGTGACGTTTGCGCCATTTCTGCTGCCCTCACAGTTTAGGACTAGAGTGCCACCTCTGGGGGGAGGCCCCATATCGCTTCAACTGCTGCTTCCTGGTTCCTTGCAGATCTCCCTGTGTCTTGGAATCCATCTTAACCCATTTCTCCTCTGCTGGTGTAATCTCTCTTATATCTGGAGACTGAAGAAGTGTTTCTGTGCTGTGTGACATGACGTCTAGAAGTGTCCAGGACAGGGGACAGTGTGTGTGTGGTATGTCTGCCCACCCACACCAAAGGCCTGTCTCCACTCCTCTGCAGGTACATCCACCGGCCCTGCCTACAAGTGCTCGAAGCTGTGTTGGTGGCTGCCGTCACCGCCACGGTGGCCTTTGTGATGATCTACTCCTCCCGGGACTGCCAGCCTCTGCAGGGCAATGCCATGTCCTACCCACTCCAGGTGGGAGTCAGGGGCCCGCAGTGTCTAGGGGGATCCTGGCTTCCAGGCTAAGCGAGAAGGGCTCCAGGGACAGTGTGGCTCTGCGGGTTGACGCCTCCCCAGAATAACTCTCAGCTTGTGAAGGGCAGGGAGGGTGACCAGGTGTCTCTCCAAGAGGAAGGGGCCTCCGTCCTCAGACATGGGGACAGACTGACTATGTCCTGGCAGAGGACAGCGGTGGGCACTGAGATCCATCCACATAGGGGAGCACGGGTTGGCCACTGAGAGAAAGTGCTGCCACACTGCGACATGGACGAACCTGGAAATGGTGCTGAGCACAAGTCCATTTTCCTGGGCTGACTCAGAAGTGCACCTTAGCACGTCACTGGGTCTCTCTGGGAGCAGCTGGTGGTGAGCAGTTGAGCGCGTAAATGCTGGCGCAACCAGGATGCCCGAAGAAGCCAGAGGATTCCGTGCTGTGTGACAGGACTTGTAGGAAGGGTTCAGGACAGAGAATCATGGGAGTATGAAGTAGGCAGTGCTGTGTGACAGAGAACCACAGACACAGGAAGTATACCTATTTCCTGTATACTGGTGCTGTGTGAGGGAACCATGGGGACAGGAAGTAGGCAGTGCTGTGTGA